AGAAATAATTTTAGAAAGGTAAATTATGGAATAAAGAGTGTAACGTTACAACATTGTACATTCGGTAAATGCACTAATGTACTCTGCAAAACTATAAATACATTTTTATAATTTACAAACACCAATTAATAAATATATTAAAATATATACACTTGTGAAGTGAGACAATAGACCCGTTGAATTGATATACAAACACATTTTTGTATTGTAAAGATACTTTTGCTGTACATCTCACGAGGAAATCAGGGGGAGGGAAGGCCAAAGAAAAGGGGCGATTGTTTTCGCAGGATACTGTCACACAGTATAGTGTATCCTTTACAGGACGTTGCAAAACCAATCGGAAACAGCCCCTGGCTGTTGTGTGGTTTTTCTAGGCAAATTTACGTCCAGTGGGCGATGTATGGTGTGGCCTCGTGCCACGGGACCGCTACGGTAGCCATGAAGGCCACCCTGGGTCACCCCGAAACGTCCTGGCCATCGGGGCTCTGGTGAAGTTGCGACAGGCCTGGCAAGCCGGCAATGGATTCATTATCGCTGGGATCGAACCCGGCATCCCGGCAATCGTTCGCATCAACTTAGCCACAGAGCCGACGTCACACAGTATAGATTGTCTAAATGTTGTACAAGGATATCTAGTGTATTTCTTCGGTTCGTCTCCTGTATTTGCTCTTAAAAGTGTGGCTGGCACTTTGTGTTGTAGTTTACAGCCAGGCTACGATATTTACGACTTGAGCGCAACATAGTCGATTTCGGCGAACCGCTACGTAATCGTCTTTTACGGCAAACTTGTTGGGGGGCACGGGTCTATTCTTCTTTTTCCCCAAAATGGAGCACCGGCACCAGATGGGGCATCTAGCCTACTAGCAAGATATATCTTCTTCTTCTTCGCGTTCACCAGCTGTAAACTCTTGGGGGTAAGTTCTGGTTGTTCGTCCACATTTCGAAATATCATGTTGTTGTTCTTTTAGTACAGCTGATAGGGACCCCTCTTTGTGATATCCGTGATGAAACTATAGCTGATGGGGACAACCTCTTTGTGCTATCCGTGATGAAACTAAAGCTGATGGGGACAACTCTTTGTGCTATTCGTGATGAAACTATAGCTGATGGGGACAACTATTTGTGCTATAAGTGGTGAAACTATAGCTGATGGGGGCAACTCTTTGTGCTATTCGTGATGAAACTATAGCTGATGGGGACAACTATTTGTGCTATAAGTGGTGAAACTATAGCTGATGGGGGCAACTCTTTGTGCTATACGTGGTGAAAAAACTATAGCTGATGGGGACAACTCTTTGTGCCATCTGTGGTGAAACTATGGCTGATGGGGACCACTCTTTGTGCCATCTGTGATAAAACTATAGCTGATTCTTTCTGAGTCCGGAGGTGACCTAAGACCCCAGAAAACTATAATATAATTTTACCTCAATCTTCACTTCCGACCATGTTCTCTTCTCACCCCCCCCCCCCCTCCCCCCCCCCCCCCCCTTTTTTCCAAACCAGTTTCATCATCCGCGATGTCCTGATGCATTCATTATCTATTTCATTCCAGACAATCTTCACAGCACAGCGCCGAGCTTAGCTTAAAGTAGCTTGTCACACACATGTGCGCCAGCAGCCAGTCAATCAGCCTGTTCATTGCCGTGCCACCCACAATCATTATGCAAAGAAGGCATTGTTTACGCATAAAGTACATTTATAAATCAATTCTAGTCATCCCATACATAACTTACTAGTTTGTATGTTTTTAAGCCAGTCCGCTAGACCGTTACGAAGAGACTGAAGACCTTTGGTTATGTGTAGAGTGCAGTAGTTACTTCTTCTTCCACTGTTTTGGTGTCGAGGCAAGTATTCAGTTCTGCTTTTTCACTCTTCTGGCCGGCTCGACCATAAACACGTCATGCTATTGTAGAATTTCTCTGATATGGTCTTTCCATTTTGTTCCTGATCTACCTCATGCTTCACGTCCCTGCCCCCTTTTGGCGTATGCCTTGTGTTCTAGGGCATCACAGGGCATTCTCAGTGTGCAAACCATGTACGTTGCTGTCATTGTATGTAAATTAGCTCTGGCACCGTGCGGATATCAGTCATTTCCTACTACATACGGTAAACTTGGAGACACTGATGTGACTGCTGCATCGAAAGACGGAGCACGAGTGAGGTCTGGTCGATGTGCTAGGATGTCGATTCCACCAGCTAACAGGAATTGGTTCCATGCAGATTTGTATCTTTTGACTCTCTACTGCCGATCCAAAAATGTTATCATTATCATCGAATACTTCTTCTGTAGTTAAGCGTCATGAGGCGGATAATATACGGTCCAGTGCAAGCTGGCTGGCGCTCACTAGTGTCATTCCGTGAAGTTGTAAAGTATCTTTACATAAATAAACAGAGGGGGAACCCTTGAGGCCTTCAAATATTAGAAATGAATAAAGTAACAGAAAATATATTGATTGGCACTCACAGAAAGTAGAAAGATAGAAGAACATACTAGACAACATAACAATTGAAAGCTATAGTCACCGTGCAGGCAATCGAACTTATCATTTCCAAACATGAAATAAGTGCATTAACAACTAGGCACCAACTCATTAATCCAAGCTATCTGGAGGTGACAGGTTTGATTTCCGGCACGGTTACTATAGCTTTCGATTTTCATGTTGTCTAGTGTATTCTTTTATCTTTCTACTTGTTTCTATGAGTGCCGATCAATAAATTTTCTATTACCTAATTAATATAAAATATATTTGAAGTTGTCGATCCATTGTTTCACGGTCGTCCTCTTGTTGTTTAGCAGATCTTATATTATGTAGAGCCTGTGATAGTATTTTAATTTCAGTTGCTGCATTCTAACAAAATGCACAAACTACTTGATCTGCTGTTTATCGATTAATCTTGTACATAGTGTTGTTCCCACAGTCTCTCTATTTTATCATTATTCACTCAATCTCGGATGGTTAGTTTGGCGGCCCTTCTCTCGCTGATTTTCCATCATTACACCTTAGATAATGTCCACAGTTGGCAGTGGTAGTTCAGCGCTAGCAATATTATGCTGTTTATGATCTGTTTGTATGCACTTATAGTTATGTTTGAATGCCCTAATAATGGTGCAAAATGGTAAGTGAACTGCACTTGTTTTGTCACCTCTGTTTTCTATTTCTTGTCAATTCTGCTATCTTCTGTAAAGACGCTTCCAAGACAATAAATTCTCTAACTTGTCTTGGGGCAGAACCATTCAGAGCTGCATATGTAGTGTGGGTTCGGGGTTCTACTGGCTTGCAGTGCTTCGGTTTTGCAAAATAGTGCTTGCATTTACTTTACTAACCAGTGCTATTCGTGTCCCTGGGAACAGATACATTCCAATGCTGACTTTACAAACCACTTATCTTGTCATTACATTTACCCTGTATCAATTACCTTTGCAATTTGGTGGAGATTTACATCTGCTATTTTTCTTTTTCCGTATATTCCCTCTATGCGAGCAATTTTCTTGTGATGGCATGTTTTATTCCGCTAGCCATCACCTTGTGGAGACCAGAAAAATTTTTCGCAACAAAAAGGACACACCGGAAAGAGGAATCCAAACAGATAAATCTTTATGCCTCTTTTTCCCAGAAAATGCCTTGTCCCATCTCTCTAAACACCTCTTTGCTCACACAAAAATAACAGGTCGGGCAATATCGATTTCAGGATAATGGCTCTTATTTCATTTCTGCATGAGAAGACAGTCGTTGTTGATGATGCTAGTGTGAAAGATTGCCCGTCACTTTCAGGGCAAGCGCAGACACATCTGTAAGTGATTCACGCTCCTTCGATATTTCATACTAACAAGATACTCAGCAGCACAACGCACGGACTGCATAGCGTCATCGACAATCCATGTGTGTGAATATCAGAATTTATCTTGCTTTTTCTCCTCTTCTTGTGTGTTCTTCTATAAAATGGTGGTGGGCTCGTTGTGTTGTGGTTTACAGTTAGGCAGCGATAGCTGTGCTTTTTTCGTCCAACACATGTACTTTAAGCAATATCCTCAGTCGCCTTTTACGACATGATGTCAGGAGGAAGTTGGTCGATTCTTTTCTCCCCTCCCAGAAGGAGGAACTAGAATCCACACGTGGAAACTACACTTGTAAGAACTTTTCTGTTGTGAATTGTCTTTGAATTTTGAAATACAACCCCGTCAACAGCCAATTGAATCTACTCGCTTTCATCTCTAACTACAGAACGACTCAAACGTGAACAACTACATGGCTGAAATCCACTAAAACGTGGCTTCTGATCCACTATTCAAGTACCAACGTTAGGAGTGTGTGTCACATATAAGTATGGTTAGAAATTACAGTAACTCTCTTTATTCTGAGGCATCTGAGTACATTGTGCAGGGTATCTATACGTAAGAACATTCAACCAAGAATGTCATTGTTTAAGATATTTGGTCCCTTACAATTTGGTATATTATACTATTTAAGATATTTTGCTCTTGCATTTGGTTAAACCCTTTATAGGACTCAGAGAAAGGAAAAGGAGTTGATGAAGAGGAGTTTAAAGAGGAGGAGAAGGAAAATGCAGATTGCAGAAGGTTATACCGGAAAAGACATTTCCCTTCCACATTTCGGCAGACTAAATATATTACAGAGCCAAGAAAGGCAACTTCCTTGGAAATGCCTAACGAAATCGGTTAACCTCGGCCCCAGGCCTCAAGAAACGGCGCAGTGTGTTTCATTTTATGATTAATACGCCTGTGGCTCCTTTGTCTTCTAGAGCATTATGAAATATGCTTGGAATAACACACCGTAATATTATCATATTGACGAAACATCGCACTCGTATGTTGCCATATGGCGTTCATTTTTCAATTACACGGGGGGGGGGGGGGGGGGGGGGAAGAGAGATAATCTAAGGGGAGCTAATCTGGTGACAAAGGCAGTAACTGCATGAAGGTAGTAACAAAATGTTCGAATAATTCACATTCTAAACAAAAGAAGTATGTACACTTGGAACTAACTTTTTGTGGAATCTAATGTTGTTCCAGTAATGTGTAGATTATTGTTTGAGTATATTGATAAGATATCGTCCTCTCGCGTCAACACTTTTTCTACCTTGCTCATTCTCTGTTTTAATTTTTGCTGTGTTGTATGAAATTCGGCTAACAGTCTAGCAAAACGTGTCTGCAGATTATCCAAAGCAGAATCAATTCTGTCCACTCTCTGCTCCACGGTCTCTTGTTTTTCTTCTGCTTTCCTCATAGCCTCCTCGTCTAGTAAATTATCCTTCATGAGAATTTGTCTTCCAGCTTCGATCAGTTTTCGTTTGGCTTCAGGGTATTCTGTGAGGGCATCCCACAAGGATTCTTTGGACAGGCAGAAGAGATCGGAGTACCCCAGGCTGCGGACGTTGGCGGTTCGTCGATTGCCGGTCTTGTTTCCAGCGATGTTCAAGATGCTGACCTGTTGACAAACAACATCAGATCTGAGTACATTCAATGAAGCAAGCATTTAAATCTGTGTTTCACAGTAATACAGTTTGGTGAGGGGTTGGGGGAATAGGAGTTCCCGAACTCCCCCCCCCCCCCCACTTTTTCCATGGAAATACACTCCCATACACACAAAAGAAAACATGCGGTATAACTCGTATATTTAGGGGTGATCATTTTGAAATCCGCGAGCATCTGCGTGAGATGCAAGGAACCAAGAGTCTGCATCTGCATGAGCCAGACCTGTAAAACAGAACCCGTTTTCAGACATCCTGTGTTTACTGTTATCTTTCTACAAGATAGATCGCTAAATAATTTGTTTGTGCGCACGGTTTGCAACTTTACTAGGTCGACATCACAGCAGCTGTATTTAATTTACAGGACTTTAGTCGATAAACATTTAACGCTATGTACACATAACAGCTATAGTCATTAATAAAGACAGTCCGGCTCGATCATTACCCGAGCCCACCGGCTCCATTATTACCTGAGCCCACCGGCTCCATCCTTACCTGAGCCCAATGTCTCCATCATTACCTGAGCCCACTATCTCCATCATTACCTGAGCCCACTATCTCCATCATTACCTGAGCCCACTGTCTCCATCATTACCTAAGCCCACCGGCTCTATCATTACCTGAGCCCACCGACTCCATTATTACCTGAGCCGACCAGCTCCATCATTACCTGAGCCCACTATCTCCATCATTACCTGAGCCCACTATCTCCATCATTACCTGAGCACACTGTCTCCTTCATTACCTGAGCCCACCGGCTCCATCATTACCTGAGCACACTATCGCCATCATTACCTGAGCACACTATCTGCATCATTACCTGAGCACACTATCTCCATCATTACCTGAGCCCACTTTCTCCATCATTACCTGAGCTCACTGTCTCCATTACCTGAGCCCACATTGTTTGCATCGACAGGCGAGCGCCTGGTTGCAACACTTCGTTGGCTTCCAACCTCGCTATGTATACATTTATTCTGGTGCTTTTGTCGTAACTACAAGTAGTCTGACTAAGGAGGTCATGGCTGTGACCAAAGCAGTAAAATGGCTAGAGACACAGACTTTCACTGGGACATGCTTTCTCAGGAACTCGATGAGTTTGCTCAGGAAAATAGAGAAGGGCTGGGTCCAAAGGCAGTGGTTGGTGGCCCTACAGAGTTCACAGTTGACAAGGATTAGTTTCATTTTCGTGACAGGATATGTGGGAGTACAAGGAATTGAGTAAGCTAATGGACTTGCAGGTAAGGCTACTGTGAAAGCTGGACAAGCCAAAGACCAGGCTGACATACTGAATGCTCTAAGAGAGTTAAGACGTTTAAGTAAACGAGTTGAGAACTGTGAATCTGCAACCATGGTCAGACTTCAAGAAAAGCAAGTTAAACGGGGTTTCGATGAACAAGAACACTACGCGGGTAGTCAAAGAAGAATACTAAACCAACACAGAGCTGGTGTCACTAGCCGTTACATGCTGCGAGATTTACTACGGAGGGGGTCCGAGCACTTATGGACTGAGTGGTTCGACGTGAAGTGAGAATAATCTGTCCACTTACTAATTAACTGACTAACTAACTAACTATAACGATAATATTTGTATATTTCGGTGTTTCTTAATCTGTCCCACCATTTTTTCCCCTTTAACTCCAGAAAACTAGAATAATTAATGATGACAACGTAAACAACAGAAGGGAAAATACTTTAAGTGTTTCATGAAACATTGTGTTCAAAATATTTGAATGCAAATTTCGAGGAATATCTTTTAGCTAAATGTCCCCAAACTGTTGATGTGTGAAACTGGAAACATTTTCTGAAAGCGCTTGTATTTTATTTAATTTGCATGCCTTTACTTCTTTCCGCGCTAACCAGTTTGACTTCAAATTTCTCAACGGTTTTTATAATGACTGGAAACGAAATCACGGATCTCGTTTAATCACTCCATTTCACGTGAACACACTCTACTACGCGTCATGTGCATCCATGTGTAGAGGAATTTACAAAAAGCAAATGAGATTTTGAAATTTCTTGGCATTTTGCAGAAGAAATGTATAATTTGTACAGATAACTTCATTGTCGATTTCGTCGTTTTTAGGGCTAACGTGAAATTTTTTTTCAAAAATGAATTGAAAGCAACAAAGGTGTGAAACTTGTTAAACTCAACGTAATCGGTCGCTTGATGCAGTTCGCAACACAAACCAGACTCGGGCACACCAGAAAACAGCACTCTATGAAATCGGCAGCGTGCAGTGTCTCTGCAAGCATTCAGCTCAGTTGCTAGGCAATGAAAAGTTTAAACGTCTGGTCCCGAAATGGGGAATTGGCCTCAGCGAACCGTGGCTAGAATCTAGACACTTTTCGCAGCGTCTTCCATACTGGACAGGAAGTATATATTTATATTTGTGTGTGTGTGTGTGTGTGCCCGTGTGTGTGTGTAATTTACTGGTCCCCTTAAGTGGCCCAAACATTGTAGTATTCAGTAGTATTGACCTTTTATTTACAAGTCGTCAGCCTAGTCTACGTCAAGAGGGGTGTAATGTGATCACTTCGTTCCAATGGTACATCGAGGATGTCAAGAGAACAATCAAAGACTTCCTATATCCGACAGGGGAACAACTCACTTTCCGTACCCTTTACTGGACCTCACAAAACAAACATACTAAAGTATATTTTTGCCCCTTTGGTTTTACTAGACAACTGGAGTTCAGTGGGTTGTCATTTTACATGATCGGCACTTTACACCACCTTCGAGATCAACGCAAGGCGGCCTGCGGCCAGATAGCCCACAGCAGGATTTGTCACGAGGAGTGGAGAAAGGAAGAAGAACCGTTCAAGAGCTACAAATATTAGATAAAGTTTAACATAAGATGTTACTGACCTCACCAAAGACGCTTCCCTCACTCAGGGTGGCGTAAACAGTCGACCCGTCATCGCCGACCACACTAAGCTTCCCTCTCTTGACAATATACATCTCTCGCCCAATGTCACCCTTTCTGCAGATGTAATCCCCAGGACTAAACACCTGCAGTCTCAGCTTTAGAACCAGCTCAACCAGTAGCCCTGGCTCGCAATCCTGGAAGATAGCCACTCGCTTCAGCGTGTCCAGATGTACATGTATGGCCATCTCAGCCTTCAGTTTATCTGGAAGTGCAGAAAGAACTTCTTCTTCATTTAAAGATTGCTTATTCGTCCATAAATAATCGAACCATTTTATGACTCTCTCCTCTAATTCCTTGCTAACTTTCCTAAACTCCATATATTGCTTAACTCCGTCCATTCGCTGGTTAAACTCAGACCTGGCCGCATTCATATTCGTAATCATGCTGCCAACATTACCCACAATAGTTGCAAAAATTAGCACACCAATCAGAAAGTCGACAACCACAAAGAGGAATTCTTCATCCTTCTCCGGAGGAGGCGTTTCCCCAATCGTTGTCAGCGTCAAAGTGGACCAGTAAAAACTATAAATGTATTTCCTAGACAAATCTTTATACGGGCCGGTCAAGTTTGCGTACACCCAGCCATCAGAACCAAATCCTATTGCAGCGCTGATGGCGAAATATATACAAGCGTTCCAGTGAATGATGATGAGGATATAGAGGACCAGATGAAGGATGCGCCACATGTTTGTGTAGGAGGTTCGAGTCTCGGTCCTGTCAAAGAACTCAAGCATTCTTTTGATTCTCAGCAGACGGTTAAACCTGACGTAGGGAATGCCGAGTCCTCCGACGAGGAGGTAAAAGAGGTCTGTTGGTAGAAGGCTAGCCATATCAATGTAGAAGGTTTTGGTTCGCATGTAGTTCTTCCTTAGTTTGACTGGGTCTGTCACCATAAGGCCTTGCTCCAGGTAACCTGTAGAATAACAGGTGCAAAGTGTCAAGTGTGGTAAAGGTGATGAGTGGAACGATAAATTATGTGACACATTGGTCAATGTACGACTCAGTATATGTGTATTTATTGCGTCTGACTGATCTTAGCTTCTCGGCGTTCTTCTCTTCTCCCCCCCCCCCCCCCACCACCACCCTTTTGTCTTCCCCTTTCTTATTTGTCTTGATCGTGATCATAATAACTATCGATTATGATAATGGGGATGAGTAGGCGGAAGGAGAGGTCGATGAGGAGCAGAAAGAAAAATGAATTTTAAAAAAAAAAGAGAAAAATCAGAAACGCATTTAAAAGGCTCGCTGGATATTATCACAGCAAGTATATGATACGCCACTAGACTTTAGGATGAGAGGTGGGGGGGGGGGTGGGGGGGGGGGGAGGGGGGTAAAAAATGTTCCTAAAACTAGCATGAAGACACATTAAAATAAAAAAAAACGACGCTGTGGTGAAATTTCTAAAAGTGACAAGGGACCTTTTACGGCAGCGAACTTGTAAACAGCTCCTTCAATTCTGTCACTCCATCTTACCCTCAGACTTCCTAATGCCCATATCACGAAAACAAAATAGCTGATCGATATTTCAAACCGGGCCGTTAAATAAGATCTTACGTGCTAGGGACAGACAACTATTACCGCATTAGGGACCGTCGCAGTTGCTCACCCTGGTCTTAGTCTTTACATCGGAATGGAAGACCCTCCACACGACTAGTATAGCGGTTCTCAACCTGCCGGTCGCGACCCTTTTTTTGGGGTCTAACGACCCTTTCACATGGGTCAGTATAAGACCATCGGAAAACATATTTTCTTTGAAGTTAAGAAGAAAAATCAGTTTTTTTTTTTTTTCTAGGTCGCCACAACATGAGAGAACTACATTTAAGGGTCGCGGCATTAGGAGGGTTGAGAGACACTGGACTAGTCGATAAATGAATTACAGGCAGAAACACGCTAAGTGACTTGTGCCACCAGGAGCGACGACACAAACAATTCTTGGGGGTGGCGTGTGGTGCTCGAAGAGCGCTAACATATTTGGAGAGGGGTGTAAGAGGTTATGGCTTCTTTAAGTGTCATAAATAGAAGAAAGTAGAGATTGTTTTTTTACGCATTTAGGTGTACTGGGGCATATAGGGCTAGACCTATATTTTTATAGACCCATCGGCACTTGATGGGTGATGTGGTCAGCATCACACCGGCCGCCTTTACTTTCTAGGACTGCACCTGGTACCCACTCAAAGCTGGGTCGACCTGGCAGGACTCGAGAACACGACCTTACGATCCGCAGTAAGCAGCAAATGCCACGGCGACTCCCTCTTTAAGTGTAATAGCATTTTTGAAGCTAGTAATGTGCCCCCTGTGTGGGTTCAGAGGTCCAATTGTGGGGACCACAAAAATAAAACCTCTGCTTTCCTAAAAACCATTGTGTAAGTGTCGACGAATTTGCGGCTTCAGTCGAAGCATGCGGATAAGGAATACGGGTTTGCAAGCACAAAGTATATTATGGAACAAGACTCAAGTATAAAGGTGGACGAACAACCAGAACTTTCCGCTGGAATTACAGGTGATGAATGCGAAAAAGAGGAGCAATTAATTTGCTGAATGGCAAAAATATATTAATATACATTGAAAACTGCCGACACAAACAACAGATTGCGCAATTTGGCAGGTATATTTCGCTGATTCGCCTCAGGGCAATTACTACAGAGTTACATCAACATATCAAAAAGTATACACACACACACAAACACACACACACACACAAATGAATAAATTCTACTGAAATGCGTATCGTCTCTCTCGACGTATCCTGTTTGTCTTGTTTCCTGAGGTTTACTCTAGTCGCGTGAGTTACAAGGGTAACTTTATCACAGTGATTACAAATGCCTTCTGCTCACATTAGTCTTTTGTTAATTCTTATATATGTATATATCTAGAATGTATTAACAAAACTTAAAAAAGGGAACATGGTTGGGGGAAGGGGGGCAGGTTTTAGCCTAGTCCTCTTACAAATTGTGGTGCAGGGGTCCTGTGGTTTTAAAGCGCGTCGGTACTCGGCTCCTGTCATCTCTGATCTTCATCCGTCTTTTACAGATAAAAACGCGTGTTTTCGACCACTCTTTCGCAGATAAAAAACAAGAGTTTTTAGACGACTCTTTTAAAGATAAAAACAGAGTTCACTTTTCCGTAACCAGGCAACGCATTTAATCCGTGTATTCCCTGGTGATGCCATTTATTTCCTGTGAGCGGATTGCTCATTTGTCACTGTCGTTTGTCAGAAAGCTCTAACTAATTCGCTCGGCGATTAAACATAAGCCTGGGACTCCCGTGGGGGCACACTAGTGTCTTAACAACATCTGCTAGACTCACGCTCCTGAATGTACTCAATAGATCAAGCTTCTCATTAAGTGACTTAACTAACTGTTTACAGAATTGTGCACAATACTAGGCTGATCAGTTGCACCTATTGCGGTGATGCCATTTAAAAGTTCATTATGAAATATCACATTTCCATGAATCTTCCTGGTTCAACGTCATCATCATCATGTGCTGCACTACGTCACACAGAGAGAGAATATTCGAATTTGCCTTTATTCTGGTCTATCTTGTGCAATCATGGACGAAATCTAGTTAGCACTACGTACAACATAAACCATGTACAGAGAAACACGGAGAGCTCCAGCCAACTGAGCCTCCTTACCTCACAATTGCGTTTCAATTTAGGATGATAGTGGGAGAGGGGAGGAGTGCCTGAACCCTGTGTCCAATTTTGTAAGGGGTGGGGCTAAGGGCAAACTTTCACCCATATGTAGAAATTAACCTTGTTAATTACTGCGTGAACGAGAACATTAGATCAATTGTAGGAACCACACCATGCCTGAAAATACATAAAGAAGCAACAAATAGAGTGGTTTGGTCACTTGATGCGAATGCAAACCGACCAACTGCCTCTACGAGCATACAACGAACAGCACTACTGCCCTAGAGCAAGAGGCAGACCGAGAGTACGATGGATAGACAATATATCAGAGATCCTGAGGCAACACGGACTAACAACAACACGTGCAACACACCTGGCCCAGGATAGAAAACTGCGACTCCCCACTACGCTGTGAGGCAATTGTGGACAAGACAAGACAAGACAATTACTGCGTATTCTAGTTTGTAGAGAGGTACACAAGTTATTAGTCAAATAAAATCAAATAAAGTAGCCGGAAAAAAAAAAACCGGACCTTTGCATTTGTAAATTATAAAATCATCAGAAATTGGACAATCTAGGGTTTAAAATGTGAGGGCAGACTTTTGAAACGCAATATAGTATGTAATATCCTTGCTTTTCTATTGCACAATAAATAACTATTGTTTTGGACATCAAAATGGAGCCCATAAAACAAAACACAATATGAATGTGGAAAGTTAATTTTTTTTTTTTTTTTTCACGCACAATGAACCTTTCAACTTCAGATACATGTTGGTTAACTATTCGGTTTCATTCATTACTTTGAGGGAAAGTTTTACGTCTGAAAGAGCAATTTTAATGACATAGTTAAGTGCATGAAAGAGCTAACTAAGCGACACAGTTCTACGTCTGAAAAGAAGCCAACTAAACGACACAGTTCTACGTCTGAAAGAGTTAAATAAGGACACAGTTCTACGACTGAAAGAGTTAAATAAGGACACAGTTCTACGTCTGAAAGAGCTATCACAAGGACACAGTTCTACGTCTGAAAGAGTTACCACAAGGACACTGTTCTATGTCTGAAAGAGCTAACTGAAGGACACAGTTCTACGTCTGAAAGAGCTAACTTAACGACACAGTTCCATGTCTGAAAAAGCTAACTTAAGGACATCGTTTTCTATCTGAACGAGCTAACTTAACGACACAGTTCCATGTCTGAAAGAGCTAACTTAAGGACATCGTTTTCTATCTGAACGAGCTAACTTAACGACACAGTTCCATGTCTGAAAGAGCTAACTTAACGACACAGTTCCATGTCTGAACGAGCTAACTTAACGGACACAGTTCCATGTCTGAAAGAGCTAACTTAAGGACACACAGTTCCATGTCTGAACGAGCTAACTTAACGACACAGTTCCATGTCTGAAAGTGCTAACTTAAGGACATCGTTTTCTATCTAAACGAGCTAACTTAACGACACAGTTCCATGTCTGAAAGAGCTAACTTAAGGACACAGTTCCATGTCTGAAAGAGCTAACTTAACGACACAGTTCCATGTCTGAAAGAGCTAACTCAACCACACAGTCACATTTGGAAAAGCTACCTCAAGGTCACCATGAGATAGTAAGAATGTAAAAAAATCAGCTCACATCCAGTGTGTAAATGACCCTTGTTACGTCACTGGCGGATGAGGACACATGATCGTATGAGGGAGGCGATTAACATCATCCTAGCCGCCTTGACTTCCACAGTAATTACTTTGTATGCAGTTTCAGCTAGGTCGGCTTGGGAGGAAATTTATTTTTAAAATTCGAATTTTTTTCGGATTTGAACCAAAAAAATAAGGAACAGAGGCCAACATTTTGGCCACATTTTGCGTAGCTTGATTAGAACGTTGATGGAGACTTTTGTTTCGAAAGATGATGCAGAGCAGAGGCACACCTCCCTGAATGTTGGTACAGAGGATGCATTTGCTCTGAAAGCACATAGGGCTGAATAATTTGCTAGAGACAGACATACTTTCTGCCGTGCCGTGACGAGAGCGACGTTTTGTAAACACTCCCCACTGACTGATGATGATGACGAGGAGTAGAGAGAATGCCGGTGTCGCATCACCACACTACAGCCGCGTCGTTATATCCAGTGTGGATCTTTGAAATAGTTCTCTTTTAAAGTTAGGAGGAAGATAACAAGTAAAAAAGTAATAGACCCCTTTCCACTCCTTTAGGCGTTTAGGGCATATAGGGCTAGACTTATATTTTATAGACCAACCGGCTCAAGATGAGCGATGTGGTCAGCATCACGCCGGTCGCCTTTACTTCCCGGGACTGCACCCGGTACCCACTCAAAGCTGGGTTGACCTGGGAGCAAAGGTCATTATTTTTTAAAGTCCTGGCTCTGCCAGGGAGCGATCCCGCAACCTTTCCAATCCGCGGCAAGCGTCCAGCTGCTCCGCCAGGGCGACTCCCAAAGAAGGAAGATGCTCAGTTAAAAAGAGCACCCGAGATGGCTGCGTGTACAGCTTTCGTATCGGACATCTTAGTATTTCGTAGGAAGAAGAAAAAAAAAATGACCGATCGATATTTCAAACTGGCCAGACAAACATCTAAGGTGCAGACAGACATTTATGGTATTAGCGGTCTTTGAAGCTACTTACGCTAGTATTAGTATTCATGTAAGCATGGGGTGTGGGTTTGGGGAAAGGGAAAAGGGGGCGGGGGAGGGGCGCACATACAAACTCAATAACCAGCTTACGACCGGGAAAACGCTTCTAAACGACTTTTCCTGTTTGTATATGTCTTCCTTTTTTTTTTCAGTGATGAGAGCGGAATTAACTTCTCTGTTACCAAGCAACGCTTTGAACCCATTTATTCCCTGGTGTGGTCATTGATTTCCCATGAACCGGCTGCTAGTTTGTTCTTGTCGCTTGTAAATGAGTTCCTGTTTATTCTTTTACTATTAAACATACGATCTTTATTCCCAGGGAAGCCCGCTTTTGTTTGTCAGTTTCTGCGCCTTGGCGCTTGCTCTTAGCACCCTCTGTTAGATAAACGTTGAGAAAACACTTGATTTAGTGTCCTTTCATTTTCAGACACAAAGAACTCTTTTCTTACCCTATCTCCTTCTTCTTATTCTTCTGTGTTTATCTTTTAGAAGGCACCTTGCGTTTTGGTATACAGCAAGGTCGCGACTTGTCCCATTTTGGTCCAGCACATCCGGTTTTATCAACCCCTAACTGGTCGTCTCCTACAACATTCCTAAGGGATCTTGAGGAGAGCCCTTATGGGTCTATCTCCCCCCCCCCCCACCCCGCCTCTTTTCTTTTCCTCCAATGAAGATGCAACCTTTCACCCCGATAGACATGTCGGTTAGTTTGACTTTAGTCTAACCAAACAGAGAGGGTCACTTTTACTTCACAAAATTGTTGAGCTGGTCGACTTTCCTGAAGGTTAAGGATTTTTGGTTTCTGCAATGTCTTGCATTTACGTTTTCATTTCGAGAAAGATAATGCCTGTGACAGAGGTTGCAGCATTCTTTAGGGAGGTTGTGCCAGACCCAGTCTCTCCGTGTTTTTGGAGTGTTAAAAGCGCTGGCGTGCTTGAAATATACAACACACGATATCACCGGCATTGCGGAGCACCCACGTAACCGTGTGCGAAGGTCACGGGGCTCAGCAACTTCCAGTCAGAAGTGAACTAGTGTGTATATGGACGGGGTCTGGGGAAACTAACGTCGAACTAACCGATAGGTCGTCTCACAGTGAAGAACACAGTCTTTTTAATTTGAAACTCACTGATTAAATGTTCGCCTATGTATACCACCACGTGTTGAATTCTCCCAGAGCTTACCACTAACTGTATTAGTCATTCTATGTTCAGATTCTCTGCCTGTCTATTCTCTGTCCGTTCTACTGCACTGTCTATTTGATCCCAGAGAGCCTTTATCGCCTTTTCTTTATCACAAAGTAGCTTGAAGCTAAGATCAGAGGCAGCAGCCAGACTATCAACCTGATCATCAACCTTCACACCCGAATTTCCCTGAGAGAAAATCCACATGCTCCTGATCTGATTCCTAATTTCTCACCAAATTCTGACTGTGCACGATTAATTTTTATACATCAAGATTATCATCTCTCTAATTAGCAAAGATAACAATTAAACAACATCATCACCATCTTAGGACACCTATCTACGTAAACTGACCTGTCCTGAACTGTATGAAGATATCCAAGGCGTAGATGAAGTCACTGACGTAGTCCAGGCACAGCCACAGAATGTAGTACCGGTCCTGAAGTTCCCAGAAGACCGACCTGGCGATGATGAAGACGCCGTTGTAGAGAACGGCCAGGGAAATGACGAACAGCCAGCGGTAGTAGAACGAGTCTGAAGGATCCACGTAAAAGTGTCTCCAGTATCTGAAACGCAAAACGTAAAAACCATTTTTATAATCATCAACATGTTAGTAAAGTGAAACATTTTGTCCATGCCATCAGACGTGTTTGGGCATATAGAGCTCAAACAACCAATCAGTCAGTATGTTCTCTGCCACAAACGTCTCGACTTACACATATGGAACGATGACAGCTGTATCAAAGGGATCAAGACAAGGCTTGATATGGCAACAGCCGCGATGTCCCAGCTGAAAACGATGTGAACAAGCGTATTCACCATCGCAGTTAAGGTCATATAAACAAATCATTGGTATTGTGGATATTCTTGTACAGATGTGAGAGCTGGATATGGAAAGCAGGATTCAGGCCTTCGAATGTAAATGTTACAGACGCTTTTCACGAATTAGTTATCAAGAAAAAAAAAATCTAACACATATGTCAGAGATCCCCCCCCAAAAAAAAAAAAAATTTGAGGAGGACATCAGGAAACTTTATTGGCAGTGGTGATGCGTTGCAAGCTAGCTTGGTTCAGGCACGTGGTGAGACATGATTCAATTGCAAAGACTGTACTTTAAGAGACATTGGTTTGGGGAAAGGGGGGGGGGGGGGGTATTAGAAGAAGGAGAGGGCAAAGAAGGACCTGGAATGACAACATCACGAAATGGACAGAACTAAATTATCATACACTTATTCATCAAGCGGAAAATCGAGAAAGATGGCTTGTTTTATGTGCTAGTGCTTCCATCGATACGCCTTCACGAACCTAAAGGGTCAAGGGTAATGTTATGTCCTTTGCAAATCGTCGCGCTCTTCGCGGCAAGAATGAAAATATCTCTTTCTCTAGCCATTTCTTTAGCCCTGTGTGCTTTCATAGCCAACGCATGTTCAATATACTGTGTTCTCTGTGGTCGACCTCTGCCTTACTTTCAGGAAACTAACTTTTAACATTACTTGATGTGTGAATGAAATGATGTAAGAATGGAGGGAGACCTCGAAGGGCAGAATGTTAGACGGGCCTGCGTGCCCAATTCTTAACCCCTTTAAAAATAAAGTGTGTTCGTTCGTTCGAAACTGCACCCTTCATCGCCGTTCGCTGCATACGACCATGGCGCTTGATATGTCTAAAACAAGGTTACACCTACATTTTTAAACCAATCGGTACACGGTGAGTGACATGGTCAGCATCACACCGGCCGACTTTACTTCCCTTAACTTTATCTGGTACTAATTTAAGGCTGTGACGACCTGGGAGACATGGTCATGTTTTGATAGCAAGTCCTACTCTGTCAAAACCTGAACCCCCACCCTTCCGATCGGCAGGCGAGAATCTAGCCGCTGTCGATAAGTGCAGGAGGTCATACTTTTACCAAAGTACACACTAATCAGATCACAGATTAGGTCAGTGCTCTTGTCTTGCTCTATCCATGTGCCGGAATGTTCTGGTTGTTCGACCATCTTAGACGCTAGTCTTATTCCAGAACCTGAGTGTTACGTGCACATCCGTTTTACAAATCTGACATATTTGTGTGCAAATCGTTGGTTCCTTGCCTCTCATGCAGATGCACTCCGACTTCAAAGGAAGACCCTGAATAGTCGACTCTAACGACACGCTTTTTTTAGGGGCTGGGGGGGGGGGGGGGGAAACCGGGAAAGATGGTCTATTCTTCTTCAACAACAAGGGATCCTGAAACCCGCACGGGAACAACATCGTCTAATGTCTTGTCCCACTTTGAGGTATACCCTGACACCTGCACATCATCATCTCACACTGTTTTCAACACAAGTCAACCAGTCCATGTCAGGAGACCCAACCAGCCCGTGTCAGGGGAACCAACCAGCTCGTGTCATGAGAAAAAAGCAACCCCTGTCAGGAGAACCAAGCAGCCCGTGTCAGGAGAACCAAGCAGCCCGTGTCAGGAGAACCAAGCAGCCCGTGTCAGGAGAACCAAGCAGCCCGTGTCAGGAGAACCAAGCAGCCCGTGTCAGTAGAACCAAGCAGCCCGTGTCAGGAGAACCAAGCAGCCCGTGTCAGGAGAACCAACCAGCCCTTGTCAAGAGAACCAAGCAGCCCGTGTCCTTAGAACTAACCAGCCCATGTCAGGAGAACTAACCAGCCCGTGTCAGGAGAACCAAGCTGCCCGTGTCAGGAGAACCAAGCAGCCCGTGTCAGGAAAACCAACCAGCCCGGGTCAAGAGAACCAAGCAGTCAGTGTCCTTAAAACAAACCAGCCCGTGTCAGGAAAATCAAGCAGCCCGTGTCAGGAGAAATAACCAGCCCGTGTCAGGAGAACTAACCAGCCTGTGTCAAGAGAACCAAGCAGTCCGTGTCATTAGAACAAACCAGCCCGTGTCAGGAGAATCAAGCAGCCCGTGTCAAGAGAACAAACCAGCCCGTGTCAAGAGAACCAAGCAGCCCGTGTCGAGAGAATCAAGCAGCCCGTGTCAGGAGAACCAACCAGTCCGTGTCAGGAGAACCAACCAGCCCGTGTCAGGAAAAACCAAGCAGCCCGTGTCAAGAGAACCAAGCCACTACCCTAAGTACGGTTTTTCTTGATGGATGACGGAGTCAACATTATTCCAAAACAAACAATTCACCATTCCCCCCCCCCCCCCCCCCCCCCCCCCGCCACCTTTCCACAACTCCATAAATGGAATTTCTTTCCCGCACCCACTAACTCTAAGAGTAACGCATTCTGTACTCTATTTTACAGTGTCGAAGTCTCCAGAAACGAGATCTTTGGTACTTATCTACACCAAGTAATGATACACTTAATATGCGCATATTTTGACGCCCGCTATAAGGTGGAAAATGGAGCAGCCCCGCTAATCCGACGTCAGTATCGATTAGTAGGCGTTAAGAGCCAGGCGATTTTTCATTGTAAATGGAAGACTCGATGATTTGGGGGATGTGTGGGTTTGTTTTGACAGTGAGGAAAGAATAAATAGATTCCTGGACCAAACGTGATATCAGAGGCGAGCGGTGTCTCTGTGTTTTCTTGTCTAAGGGGAAAACATCAGAATTTTAGGAGCTGTTAATTACGCTTGACTGTTTGTGGAGCTGTCTGCTGTTTGTATCCTCTGAATCTGATCTTTTTCTTTTATTCCACGTTCTTTCTGTCTGTCTGTATTCTGCATGTCTGTTTGTATGTCTGCCTCTACTAATATCACTGTTGCTGCTACTACTACCAATATCACTGTTGCAGCTACTACTACCACTACCAATATCACTGTTGCTGCTACTACTACCACAACCAATATCACTGTTGCAGCTACTACTACCACTACCAATATCACTGTTGCAGCTACTACTACCACTACCAATATCACTGTCGCTGCTACTACTACCACTACCAATATCACTGTCGCTGCTACTACTACCACTACCAATATCACTGTTGCTGCTACTACTACCACAACCAATATCACTGTTGCAGCTACTACTACCACTACCAATATCACTGTTGCTGCTACTACTACCACAACCAATATCACTGTTGCTGCTACTACTACCAATATCACTGTTGCAGCTACTACTACCACTACCAATATCACTGTCGCTGCTACTACTACCACAACCAATAACACTGTTGCTGCTACTACTACCACAACTAATATCACTGTTGCTGCTACTACTACCACAACCAATAACACTGTCGCTGCTACTACTACCACAACTAATATCACTGTTGCTGCTACTACTACCACAACTAATATCACTGTTGCTGCTACTACTACCACAACCAATAACACTGTTGCTGCTACTACTACCACAACTAATATCACTGTTGCTGCTACTACTACCACAACCAATAACACTGTCGCTGCTACTACTACCACAACTAATATCACTGTGGCTGCTACTACTACCACAACTAATATCACTGTTGCTGCTACTACTACCACAACCAATATCACTGTTGCTGCTACTACTACCACAACCAATATCACTGTCGCTGCTACTACTACCACAACTAATATCACTGTTGCTGCTACTACTACCACTACCAAATGAAGGTCAACCAGAGAGATGAATTGAGGCGTATTATATCTGCAGCAATGAACCTCAAGGGCTCGGAATGCTGAAGAAAAAAAGAAGAAGAAGACTGGGGTGTTCACAATTTAGAGTCTATGTTTTCTGTCCTCTTTTCGCAGCTAAAGATGATTTTTTTATTCCACTGTTATATTAGCACTCCTTATAAAGTTCATCCATCTGTTCTTTGTGTTTCCAATGAATCTTTTACATTCCGTATTCTTTCTGGTGCCTTCTATCCCCCAAAGAAGCGTAGACTCCCAGCCAACACCCGCCAAGACGTTCTATCCTTCGCTATTGCACGCAGCCCACACAACGTCCGCCCCATCTTTTCTTCTCTGAGTTCTCCGTTTTTTTTTTTTTTTTTTTTTTTTTTTTTCTATGACCCTGTGGATTCCAGTACAAAGCCATTCTGGTTATACTGTTCTCAGTTTTTCTACGCGCGTGTCCTAACCAATGCCAGCCTAGATATTTAATATCTGTACATCTAAACACTTGTATGTGTTTCTTCTTTTTTCTTTTTTTTTTTTTTTTCTCTCCTGCAAATCGTTACACTGTTTTTTCTTTCAAAGATCATAAATCCTCGCCCCTGTTGTTTCGCAATAAAATACACAAGAATGGACAGGCTGCACACAACTGCACGATAAGTGCATCGTACTTGTTATACTTCCGTCTCGCTCCGTATTTTAAGCGATCATCAATACCTATTATGTTGTTATTCACATCCTGGGAACTTTTAATTTGACGCCATCTAATTTCAGGTGTTCTGGTGCTGATAGCCGAATGGCGGCCATGGTTGTTGTAAGTAGCGCTATCATTGCAATGGCTTTTAATCTGCAGGTGTAATAACGTAATGAAAGCTTTCAAGTTGCATAACTCTGAACATATATCGTGACATTCAGCAGGAGTGATGTTCTAACTATGGACGTTTTCCCGGAGGGGGTGGGGCATCGGCGACCAGTTCGTCTATTGATTCGCCAGTAGACGACTTCGT